TAAGCCTAATATTAAAGTTGTTAAAAAAAACTATATGTTTTCTTTCAAGAACATTTGTTGCTCTTAGGGACTATTCAATTTTGAAATCTATAATCCTTTCCATCAGCATAAAAGAAATTGTCTAGTTGTACTTTCTCTTTCATTAGATTATCATGAGAATTTCAAGGCTGGGATATCAGGCAAATTTTTTTAGCTTCCAGATAAGACTATATAATTGAAGAGCTGAAATAGGTTAGATGAAAACAGTGATATTACAGATTAATGCAAATGGCAAGAAGGTAGTTGTGAAAAGTGATGAATGTTTCTCCAAGCCTAATGATTTCTTTATCATCAAGGCAAAGTAAAAGACAGCCTCAAGAATAATACATAAAACTGATTTTAATTTTTAAAAAAATCATGCAAAAGATAGCTTTGTTTTAGTAAATGATTATAGGATCCACGATTCTTAAAATAAATTTTATATTTGTTTTTGGGCTGTGTTTTTCTTGCCTGTGAACCCTTTGCCGACAGTTTTGATATCTGAGGCAATGTAGTTCTCTTTGTAATTTTATAGAAATGTGGCTATTTGTCATATTAATTTATTAAATATTTTAGAGAGAAAATTGGAAATGGTCTTGTCCAAGGTCATACCTTGAGTCGGGACTGAACTCAGGTCTCAGGATTCCTTGCCCTGTGTTCTCTCTGCAATATTAAGGGCCACAATCTCAGAGGCCTAAAGGGATCAGAAAGATAGCACAAATGAGTAAACAGACTCGGCAAAGAAATATTTTTACTTCCACAGAGAAATGTCTCTTGCCACTCACAGGACTCTAGGGCTGAATTCCTTATTTCCTCCATCAAAGGAATGGGCACAGAAAAATATATCAGTTACAAGTGAAACATTAGTGCAGCCATGACGACAAATTGATAAAATGTGTTGTCTGTTGCTGGGAATGATAGGGAGTAGTAAGGCCTTTCGCAAACTGGAGAGTGCGGTCCTCCTGTCTGGAGGGACCCGTCATCCCTCCAGTGGCTCAGTCTTCTACAGTCTTCAGTCCTTCAGGAGAAACCAGAATCTGGACTTTAAGTGGGATCTCCCAATTTTAAAATATTGGCTCCTTTTTTAAAACAATATATATCCCAAATAAAGTACATCCGTAGGACAGATACCACCTAGTACTGCCCAGTCGTGAGTTCTGTGTTATGCTGCGTCGTTGCATTGTGGTTTCTCCCGTGGTCCAAATGCAGATGGAGAAAACAAGAAAATAGTCACAGATTAGACTAGGTCTGTCTATGTATTTCTGAGACAAAGACAGTCGTTGCAAAACTGGTTATTTCACTGGGAAACAAATAACTGCTAATGGGGAACTTTGTTTTTCTATACTGTGCTAAATGCACTAGAGAACAGAACCTAAGTAGAGAGATCAGCCCAAGGGACAAGCACTCCCAGGCTATTGGAATGAGCCTTCAGTTATTTTATGGACTGCCCACTCTGTGTTCATCAGAGAAGGCCTTTACTACCAGCTGCCATGGAAAACGAAAAATGCAGCTGACCATTTGGGATCCTATTTTCCCAACCGTTTTTACTCTTTTGGTGATACCCCCCTTCTCTTTCATAATAGATGTTATGAACCGAAAGCCACCTTTGTAGCAGGCACTCACCACAGGCTTCCCCGGAAAGCAAATGTTATTATCCCCATTGTACATTTTTAAGAAATGAGGCTCTGAGAGGTTAAGTAACTTCTCCAGGGTTGCCAGAAGGTAAGTATCGACTGAGGATTTGGACCCGAGTCTGTCTATATCCAAAGCCCATGTTCTTCCCACTAAGTCACTGCTTTAAAATGTAGGTTTATTATTATTCATGTATGATGAGGCCAACAGATCAGGAGACAGTTGCCACTGAAAAGACAGTTTGTTATTCACGGTTCCTAAGAGGAGACGGCACTCCACATAGTGTAGGGCTGCAGGAGGAAGCACCAGCCTCAGTCAGGAGGTGGAAGGAGTGAGGGAGAAACATGGGCAAGAGGCTTTATGGTGGTTTTCACGGGAAGGAACAGGCAGGTAGAGTAAGCAGTCTTAGTGTTACTTACATGGAATAATTTGGTGGGAGCTGGCCAGGGAGATAGGAGTTGTCTCTCATAGTCTGGTATCTGGCCCTGGGGTGCTTAGAGCAGGGGAATAGTGGCCCTGAGTGTGAGAGCCTAATACAGCAAGGGTCCCCAACCTATGGTGAGTTGTATAATTATTTCATTATATATTACAATGTAATAATAATAGAAATAAAGTTCACAATAAATGTAATGTACTTAAATTATCCTGCAACCATCCCCCACCCCTGCCCCCAGTCCGTGGAAAAGTTGTCTCCCATGAAAATCGTCCCTGGTGCCAAAAAGTTGGAGACCGCTGCTATAAGTGGTCAGCCACTAAGTTTGCTTTATTTTCTTCAAAACGAATCTTATTCATCCATTTAAGATGCCAGGTATTGTTCTAAGCACTGGGGAGTGAAATAAGATACTCTTGCTTTAAAAGAGCTTGGAGTATAGGGTAAGAGATGGACATATAAAGTAATGATTGTAAAACAGCCTGATAGATGCTACAATAGAGCAAGGACAGGGCATGTCTGTGCCTTGCATTCCTACTCTCAGCCTCTGATTTTTGTCTGCATTTCCTGTCCCTATGCCTAGTCATCTCTGTCCTGCATACCCTACCAGACTGATTTTCCTTAATTTTTCATTATTTTGTTCCCCAAGTCAAAATAATTTCCTGCGGCCTCCAATTCAGTATAAACACTTACCTGGCTTTCAAAACCCCCTGTCTGTCGCCATTCTCCTTATTCACCTGTGTTTCTGCCACTTCATTTATTCTCTCATTTAACAGACAGCTATCCTATGATCAATGTGTAACCAGCACAAATAGACACAAATGTAAAGCGTAGAAAGTGCCACCAAGGAGAAGCGCATGGTGCCATGTGAGCATATGGTATGCCTTCACTATGGTTCATTCACCCCATGTTTATTCCACAAATATTTATTGAGCACTTGTGATATGCCAGGCATGGAGCTGGACCAGTCTCCTTACTGTTCACAAACATGGATCTTTCCATCTTCATGTCTCTGCTTTCCATGGTCTCTTTTCTACCATGTTTTGCCTCTAGCCCTTTGCTCCTCCAAATTCTGCCTGTTCTTGGCCTCTCAGCTAAAGCTTCACCTTCTCCCACTATATATTAATTGCCAAGTGACTAACTCTTTGCTTTATGCTACTATGTTTTATATGTATTTGTATGTATTTCTTATTTTTCACCATATCCCCCAGAGCCTAGGCACAGTACCTGGTACAGTAGGCATCCAGTAAATACTGAATAACTGCATTCATACATGTACCGCATGTGCTAGGTTCTGTGCTTCCTCCTGGAAGCTCCTTTAAATCTTCCTTCTGTGAACTGAACTCTCAAAGTATTCCCCATATAAATTAGCATCAAATCAAGTAATGCCTTTAGTATTCCAATGCTGATCCCAGTCAGTTCCTCTTGACGCTCTCAATGGAGTGCAAACTCTTTGAGAGTCTGGAATATGCCCCGTAACTGTAACCCATAGTTGAACCTATGAGAAATAAATATTCAATACCTGCATGATATTTTTTTCATTGTGCTGCCAATGGCTTTGGAATCATTTTGAAACATTTCCACAATACTGTACCAATTGGAATTCAACAACTTATATTATCCCTAGAAATTTAGTAGACAATATGGTATCATAGTTAAGAACAAGGACTTAAGATATAGAGACCTCAGTTTGAGACTTAGATCTGTCATTACTCTCCTGTGACCTGGGATAAGCTACTCAATCTCTTTTAGTCTCCATCTCCATAGTGAAAAATAGTGTCTTCTTCATGGGAGTGCTGTAAGGAATAAATGAAACACAGTCACGTGTGTACAGTGCTTAACTTAGTATTGCTGTATTGTAAATAAGTCATCTTATGTGATATAATTTGTACTACTGTTGGCATTATAGTAGATACCACTTTACTTCCTAGCAATCCTATCTTAAAAGGAGGCTGGAGCGTTGGGAGGCCATTGAGGTTCAACCAGGTTAGAGACTTGCACAAAGCCACACAGCTCCTGAGAATGAGACCCAGAACCCAAACTGGCCTCTGTGACTCTGAACAAATATTCTTCCTCTTTCTACACCCCTGACTCTGAGGACACATGCTCAGAGAGCCTATCACCAGGAAGCCAAAATAGACAGTCTGTTCACAGTATGAATGAAAATAAATCCATCAGTATGGTTGTTACAGAGTCCTAGAGACTCAGGTAAGCATTTGGAAAATATGCACATGAGGTTCAGGAACAGAGCTGGGTGTGTTTTAGCAGCAGCATGGGGAAACACTTCTGTTCCTGATGCATATTCCATACTATTTTGTTTAAAGCCACCAAGTGGATTAAGGAATAAAATTTTAGACACAGGATTTCGGATGAGAATATAATTGTCTGCAGAGCTCAGACATTTCTGCCCTCGAGAGCTGTGTTTCCTGTGTGACAACTTTCTAGTCAAGGGAGATTCTCTTGATAGCTCTGGGGCACTTCATTATTATTATTATTTTTTTTTTAACTGAGACTCCCTCGTCATAGTCTCTTTCATTCAGCTTCTCCATTAGTAAAACACAGTGAGTAGTTCAAGGTTTGACATTGCCCAGGGGTGACAGCCTGGATCAGAAGGGGGAAATGATATGATCCAGAGAAGCTTGGTGCTTTTAACACCCAGACACCCCACCATGTAACTTGAGTTACCCTTCCTTCCTCACTCCTCATTCTTGGGCCTGATGCTAACTAACAGTTGAGCCTTGGGAGTTTTATTTCCTGTTACTGTTCTCTCTAAACTTCTTTGTTTTATATATTCAAGAGGTTAGCACTAGGTTAATCAAAGCTATATTTCTTTAAGCTGAGACCATCTTGCTGCGCTAGCATTTTGAAGTTCTTGGATCCTTTATGGACAAAAGTTGAAAGAATCTCTCTTGTTTTTCAGATAGACCACATGGTGCAGGGCCATGCTGCCTTCCCTGAACTACAAGCCAAGGCCACAGCCAGGTAATTGCTGTCTCTATTCCCTCTACAGCTTTCCTTGTGTGACTGTATTGAGAACATTCACTTCAGGTGCTTGTGTGATTTTCAGATCCTATGGACAATGGAAATGCCTATTAGTACTTGCTGTAGGATAGTCCAAATGATCCAGAACATACAAGTATTAATTTTTAAACTGATCTAAGAAAATTCAGAGAACCTAAAGATCCCCCGTGAAAATACCCAGGGTCCACAGATGAGAAATTCTGATGTAGGAGGAGGAGAATGGATTCTGGAGTCAAAACTTCCTGGATTCACATCCCAGATCTACTCCTTACTAGCTATGTGACCTTGAGCAAGGAACTAAACTTCTTTAAGCCTGTCTCTTCGTCTGTAAAATTGAGGATAATAACTGACATGGAGTGCTTTCCAGGATATCTTGAAGAAAGCTGTATGCAAAGGCATATTTACAGTATGCTCTCTTTCATGTAAAAAGAAAAAGAGAAAAGAAAACATGTGTATCTGCTCATTTGTGCAAAAGAAATATAGGAAGGTTAAACCAGAAACTAATGAGATTGGTTCTAATAGGAGATTGGTAGCAATGAGGAAGAAAGAATGAGGGAATGGGAACAGGACAGTAGGAGGGAATGACGCTTCTCTGAGTAAACCTTTTTACATAACTATAACTCTTAGAACCGTGGTAATACTTCACGTCCACCTCAAATAAACAGATGCTGTATAGGTAGCCAGAATACATGTGTATGCTGGTGTGGGCAAAGTGAAATACAAATAGTAAAAAATGAACCTACTGTATTACAAATGAATAATATAACCACACTAAATGGGGTTTGGGAAAGAAAAGAATTAACCTAAGTAAGTTTAGGAAAGAATATTTTGACAACTGGGAGAGTTGTATTGCCATATGCAGAAGAGTGAAACTGGACCCCTGTCTCTTACCATCTACAAAAATCAACTTAAGATGGATTAAAGACTTAAGTAAAACCCAATACTATAAAAATACTAGAAGAAAACCCATGTAAAACACTTCTGGACATTGGTCTAGGCAAAAAATTTATGACTAAGACCTCAAAAGCACAGGCAACAACAACAAGTGGGACTTGGGGACTTTGGGGGAGGAGGGGAAGAGTAAAAACCTACCTTACTGGTACAATGAACACTATTCAATAGGTGATGGGCACATTAATAGCCCTGACTCAAGCATTATATAAGCTATCCATATAACAAAAACATTTGTACCCCCTTAACATTTTGAAATAAAAACAAAACAAATGGGACTTAATTAAACTAAAAACCTTCTGCACAGCAAAAGAAAGAAACAAGAGAGTGAACAAACAACTTGCAAAATGGGAGAAAATATTTGCAAACTCTTCATCTGACAAGTGACTAATATTGAGAAAATACAAGAACTCACACAATTCAACAACAACAACAACAAAAACCAATCCCATATAAAAGTTGGCAGAGGGCATAAATAAGACATTTTTCTAAAGGAGACATACAAATGATTTTATATACAAACAGGTATATGAAAAAATGGTCAACATCACTAATCATTAGAGAAATATAAATTAAAACCACAATGAGATACCATCTTAGCATAGTCAGAATGTCTATGAATTAAAAAGACAAAAAAATAGCAGATGTTGGCAAGGATGTGGAGAAAAAGGAATTCTTACACACTATCAGTGGGAATGTAAATTAGTGCAGCTCCTATGAAAAAGAGTATGGCGGTTTCTCAAAGAACTAAAAATGTATCTACCATTTGATTCAGCAGTCCTTCTATGTGTATCTACCCAAAGGAAAAGAAATCAATACATTAAAAAGATACTTGCACTCATATGCTTATGGTAGCACTATTCACAATAGCAGAGATATGGAATCAAGCTAAGAAGTGTCTATCAGTGGATGATTGGATAAAGAAAATGTGATATATTTATACAATGGAATACTACTCAACCATAAAAAAGAATGAAATCATGTCTTTTGCAGCAACATGGATGAACTGGAGGTGCTTATCATAAGTGAATCAAGCCATAAACAGACAAATATCACATATTCTCATAATTGGATATTTAAAAATGTATACACATAGGTGTAGATAGACAGTGGAGACTCAGAAGGATGAGGGGATAGGAGGGGGGCAGATAATGAGAAATTACTTAGCAGGTACAGTCTTTATTATTAGGATTATAAATACCCTAAAACTGTGGTGCCAGCCCATGGGCCATAGACCGATACCAATCCGTGGCCTGTGGAACCAGGATGCACAGCAGAAGGTGAGCAGCAGGCTCTCTAGCGAAGCTCCATCTGTATGTACCGTTGCTCCCCATCACTCACATCACCGCCTGAGCTCTGCCTCCTGCCAGATCAGCAGTGGCATCAGATTCACATAGGAGAGTGAACCCTACCATAAACTGCGCATGCGAGGGATCTATCTGGGTTGTGAGCTCCTTACGAGTGAGAGTCTAATGCCTGGTGATCTGAGGTGGAGCTGAGGTGGTGATGCTAGTCCTGAGGAATACCTGCAATACACATTATCATCAGCAGAGAGGTTGAGTCCAACCACAATAAATGCAATGTGCTTGAACCATCCCCAAACCATCCCCTCCCCCCCAGCCTTTGGAAAAATTGTCTTCCATGAAACCAGTCCCTGGTGCCAAAAAGGTTGGGGACCGCTGCCCTAAAATCCCTGTCTTAACCACTATGTAATCTATGCATGTAACAAAATTGCCCTTGTGCCCTATAAATTTATAGAAATAAAAAATAATAATGTTTTGATAGTATGCCATATGGCTAAGGATAAAAATAACTGTACATAAATATTGTGTTCTAATTAGTAAGTTTGGTTTTTATAGGTATATGGGTTAGCTATACTGAAAATGCTTTATGTGTATACCACAATAAAGCAAATAAATAAATATATTGTCGATAATGAGAACCAGGTTTCTCACAAATAGGAGAAGGGGAAGGTTAGAATGAACCCTATAGTGTTAGTATCAACTTATGATTTTTAATATATAGAGAGTTGGATATAAATATAAATAGAAGATGTGTGTATTCATGTGTGTATATACATGCATATATTCCCTAGCTCTGTCTCCTGAGATAGCCTAAAAGCAGTGACAACATACTGGCAAATGTGCACACCTAGCACCCAAATCTTGGCTTTTAAATACTATTCTTCTGGGTCTCTAATAAAAGTAATAAGGGCTCCTTAGAAAGATGGTTGCTTCTAGGGCTGGGGCAGGGAAAGCACATGATCACTTTGTGATGCCAGAAAGTAAGGAATTACTCAAAAAGGAATTGTCAAAGTACATAGGACCCAGCTTTAAGAATCTCTCAGTGGCCTACTTGGGGACAATTTAATCAACAAAATAAATAATGATAGTATAAAATAACTCCGTGAGTCCACACTGATATAAGTAAATAATTGAAGAAGGAAATAAATAGAGAAGAAAGGGCAGGTCTTCCTGTTCACTATAAGGGCAATGGCCTTACAATTAAGAAATGTAGAAGAAATAATGGAAATAGAAAATTCTTAAGCACCACAGAAATGTTGTTGCAGGCAAGAATCATCAATGGATTCTAAAATTAGTGATTAGAAATATGATGGGAAGGAAGATATTTGCATACATCCAAAGGATTTCACCACAAGATACTTACCGAGGGAAAAATAGAAACTTTTCAGCAGAGAAATCTGGCATACAATTCCTTACCCAAGCGATGAAGGTTAGTAACACCAGAAATAATGTGTTGGTATCATGTGTCTCCTTTTATGATGCACTGAGAAGGACACAGCATCCTTGCTGTGATCTTCTTACCCAAAACGCATAACCTCAACGTAAACATGGGAAAACATCAGACAAACATAAGTTGAGAGGCATTCTGCAAAGTTATTAACTAGTATGCTTCAAAAGAAGATTATAAAACTTAAATACTGAAGAACTAACTGTCTTAGTTAACTGAGAGTTAACTGAGAATTTAGTTAACTGAGGAGACTTAAGGAGATACCACAGCCAAAAACAATGTGAGATCATGCATTAGACCCTGGACCAGAAAAAGGACATTAGTCGAGGAAATCTGCTAAAACTTAAATGTAGATTAAAGGTATTGCTATTTTTATTTATTTCTTAGGTGATGAGTAAAAGGGAACTCTGTCTACCACTTTTGCAACTTTTGTGTAAATCGAAAATTACTTTGAAATTAAAAATTGTTAAAATAATAAGTAGATGAGTTTCATGATAATGCGTAACTATGCATTTTTAAGAAAAGTAAGGTACTTTATAACAGTAACAGAGAAACTTCAGGTAGCTAGTGCACGGCAAAAGAAAGAGTCTAAGGGGTTGGTTAATATTAATTGACCCCAGAGCCCAATTGCCTTTCTCTCAGCTTTATCTCTTATTAGCTGTGTGCCCCTGGGTACTTCATACCTCACTACATAGTGATAATTGTCAATCTTTAATAAGTGCTTAATAAATAATAGTGGTAGTGATATAAATTATTGCTGTAGTTGTTTACATTAGACATTTCCATTCCATCAGGGGCTTGCATTTGAACAGGGGAGGCACACCTACACAGAGCAGGTGAAATGCTTGCTGTGCTAGAATGTAGCAGTGTGTCAGCAGGGGGTAGGGAAGGAGGATTGAGCCTGACAAGAAGTGTGAGAAAAGCTTCACAGGCTTCTTCTTTTAGGAGTCTTTAATCACAACACCGTTACCATCGAGAGGGATTACACCATAACCTCCTCAACTAGCACTTTAGTTGGCTTAGGGACCGCATAACCTACAGCGGGGACTCCTGACTTCAGATCATCAGTGAACCCCATGAAATTGTGCACAAGGTTTTGCTGATTACCTACTTGTGCATGTGCTTCTGTGAAGAGGGGCCATAACTTTCATCACATTGTCCAAGGATCCAGCATTTATAAACCTCTAATCCAAAGAAAAGAGCACTAGATCTGGAGTTTTCAATGGCTTAGTTTCCTCACCCATAAAATCACAATACTG